CCCGGGGGTAAATCGATACCGCTAGTCTCGCAAGAGGATAGGGCTGTTTCAAGAAATAAATCTATTGCACAGTTAAATAGAAAAGGAAAGAGAGAGAGGGCAATCCACTTTTCGTGGTGAACTCGGGCGAAAAAGCGACGTGAGCTGGGACTTGACTTCGGCTATTAGTATAAAGAGATCGTAATACTTAAATAAACTTCTCAGACCCACCTTTCGGGGAAGGGCAGCACCAGAGTTTTCTCAGATAACCTACTTGTTTCTGATTCAGTTTGTGATCGAAGATCATTATCAAACTCAGGAAGAGAATCGTATGGGAATAAAGCACCATTCAAATACTGTCTAAGGGTTGTAGGTAGGTACGTCTGACTGGGAACGATGGATAGGTCAACACAGAAGATCGTACGAGGATAAAGAGATAGAGAGAGTTCAACAGAACCGGACTTGCATTTCTGTCCGGTTCGGACCAGGCAAAATCTTAGATCATGAGTAGATAGTAACAGTAATGTTCAACAAGATCGCGGAGAATACACATCGTCCACAGAAATACATTCCCATAACTATCATCAGTTTATTAACGCAGTAACATTTGACATAATGACGACGGTCGAGGCTCGAAAATTACGGGTTTTGGCTTAAGCTTGATAAGAACAGGTGTCTTTCAAGACCGATGTTCATTAACTTCGGCCTGTTAATGTATCCATCTCCCATGAACATAGTTCACTTTAGGTGAAGATATGGAACTGTCAGTTTTTACATTTTTTTGTGATATCACGGTTGGATTTATTTCAGGGCTTGTGAATGCGAAACTGTGTGCCGTTTGTGTTACACTTGAGATTTTTACTAGCGCGCATGCTATACGGCTACACTGAAGCAGTACGACACGTGGCAAATAGTTTCACGATACGGACACATCGTTTAAACCCTATCCAATCAACATGTGGTGCAGCGTGCGACCGCCACACTTGCTTATTTCTTAACCAAGCTTTGCTAGATCAATATTTCTAGAAAATCAAATGTCAGTATTCGTTGACCTCAGAATATTTCCATACGTTTTTGATCTGACTCGCCTAAACCGGTGTGACTAAATTTTGTGTGTCGGGGCTAAAACAACGCGGGTTTTCGCAAATATAGTTACATTTTTTCCACACGTCTGAGTTTCAGACTATGCACCAAAAAGATCACAGTATAATAATTTTTAGTGAAAGAAAAAAAGGTCCTCGATTTACTCTTGCGTGCAATGCTGTCAGGTCGCCCCGGGGCCGAGACAGGTGAATCCTCTTGGGGAATTCACAACCGCGATCTTCGGCTAACGAAAACCTCACGCGCAAGGCAGCGGGGCGGTATGTGAAAACCGCTGTCTATTTCGGGTCGGTGCCCAGTTTATCGATTCATACGGGGTCAAACATCCAGGGTTACGGACCCCGGATATCCGCTTTGCTTCTTCTCACTTTGGTGGGAAAACAAATCCACCAAGAGGAGGCAGTGAGTAATAATTACTTATTCAGTAGAACCGATTTGGCTAAAGCTGGATAGGAGGTGTAGTCAGCGAATAGCTTGTTCCCCAGGTGTAAGACATGTTTCTCTTTATCCGATAACGACCGGAAACCAATCTTTGGTCTAAGAATTGTATTGTACAATGTGAAGTTTATAGGCTACGATTACGATAAAAAAACTACGGAGTACACAATACATTATAGCGGATAGAAGTAACGAATGTGGTTTCAAATGAAAAAAACTACTACCCATAGACCTCCTGATTGGAGGTGGAGAGTGGTCAAAAACAAAGTCACGTGTTTAACTTGGAATCGAATAGAACCAAGGGACAAATGTTTTCGTCGATCCCAATTCCCCAAAATCCCGACAGAGAGACAGAGGAACTCACGGTCAACATGTCTGTGGGCATCACGTCGTTGATCATTTCGACCATTCGAGTCAGTGCGCGGCAAATGGCTCGAATTTCCGGACTGGGTGTGGGCGGACGAACACTCCACGCGCACAGTCTATCCTGAATACGACTGGACAATAAGTTGTACAATTTGTCGTTGATTTGATTCACATGCTCTCTGAAACGGAATTCAGGGTGGGGAGAAGTGAGTGGGAGGATGGTGGTGGTGGTGGTGGTTGGTGGGGGTGGGGTGAGAATATCATTTTTTGGCTTGGTCAAAGTTGTTCAAGATTCACCTTGGTCATGATCCGGTGAAAACGAAAGTACGGGCTAGAGTGCATTAGAAGCGAAATGAAGTCGATGGACGGGTTAAACAACAACAACAACAACGACCGGCGGTGCGAATCCCATTACAAGAGCTGAGCAAAACGTTTCCGGACGCACAAACTGTTTATTTGTTACATAAAAATAGGCACTACATTTTATCCAAGTATGCTCTATCAGCGTTCATGCACTCAAATCATTTGGCGAAACAACTCGACCATGTCGAAACGGGCAACTCTTCGATCAGTTCAATAAAAGCCTTCACTGCAGCTGTATCGGATCCCATGTATCATTCGCTTAACATTTGGGAACAGAAAAAAGCCACACGGAGCCAGGTCTGGACCATAGATTGAATGACCAACCTCCTGGATGTGTTCTCTAGCAAGAAAATCACAGACGACATGGGATCAGTGTGCAGGTGCGTTGTCTTGGTGCACCAAGGACCCTGATGCTCGAGTCCTTGGACAAAACCTGGTGACAGCTTCCAGCACTATCGAAAGACAGTGGATGGCATAGCAATCTCCGGTGAGTGTGCTTTACTGTATGATTGGTACAGTAGCCACATGACCGTTTTTGTTCATGAACACAACCATCATCTGCTTTTCCCAAATGCATTTGCGTTGGAATTTCCGAGGTGGCACTCTCGACCAACCGGCGTCCTTTGAGTTTACTGTTTATTGATTTCTGGGTCGAAACTGTACACCCTGGTCTCATCACCCCTGATAATTTCCCAAAATTAATTGGAACGTCCACCATCAAATCTGGGATGCATGGTGTGTAGCACCAATTCACTCGAACGGCTTTCTGTTCTTCTCTGATCTCATAGGGGGGGGGGGGGG